TATGTGAAGACATGCAAAGGTCATTGAGCTTTTGCAAATCAAAGTCATCTAATTTAGCCCATTCCTTAATTGGAACTCTTTCCTAAAATACTATTGTCAGACTAATGCTTTTCATTAGTGAAGTCAAGAGCCTACATAAGCTTAAGATTAAGAGTCTGCAAACCTAAAATGGGTGCTGGCCCTGGTGCTGCAGTGTGACCTTGAACAAGGGCAAACTTGGGACAAGGTCTGAGTGTCGTAGTCTTCACCTTCTCAGGGATGCCTGAGAACCAAATAAAGTCATACATACAGCAATGCTTTGAAAACTACAACCAAGAAAAGGCACTCCAACCTCTAATATCCTCCATGTAAGAAAATTGGATATAGATTTGTTAATTTAAAATGCATCATTGGAGAAAAAGCAAAAACTTCATGCACCGCAGAATTTCTGCAGTCCAAAAAGCAGCCTCAGAAAAGGTTCTAAAGCCATATGAACCAACAGCAAGGATTCTACACAATTGTTACAGAGGCAATTCAAAGTCTTAAGTCCATTTTTTATCTTCCCAAAGATAAAAACGTTGAACTTAAGCCTTCCTTGAATAGGGGAAGAGAAAATATAAATGAAACAGCATCACGCAGACTTTCACTATACTATCTGGGTTGCCAAGGTAAAAGTGGCCCTTCATGCTCTGCTAGATTAACTGCTTGATTTTCTTGTAGATTAAATTTAGATAATGTCTTGTCAGTAACACCTGGTAAATGAGTTCACCAGATCCTAACACGAGCCCTGTGCAGTCTTGCTGCGGTGTTCTCTCTAATAAAACCAAGAACATAAACCAAAACAGAAAAAGTATACTTTCTGTCATTTGTTTTAAGCAAACTTCCCTCACAGTCCTTTAGTTACAGGCCCAGGACTATTTTTCCCACTTGCCCTTTCGGGGACTCAGGCGGCTGTCACATTTCTTACTATGGATTTATCTTCAAGTATGAGTGAGATGACCACCTCAGAGAGACGGGCTAGAGTACCTGGCACAAAATTAGTATCACTAGAATTATTTTTCTTTCCTAAGGAAAAATGCACCAAAAAGTTATCATTTAACTTAAATAACATTAAATTTATCCAGGATTTACTGAACATCTACTATGCCTGAGATGTGGAGATGAAGACATAGGAAGTGTCCTCAAAGGTTTAAGCATTAAGACCTCAGCTCAATCAGATTTTAAGTTTTCTGAAAATAGGGCTGAGTCAAATCTTTCACTCCAAAGGCACAGTGCGAGTTATAAAAAGGAGCTAGCTCTTCAAAAGTTATCCACTGATAATCATGATGGGAAAATTCTGTTAGGTATTGAGAGTTTATGATGAGAACACACGACTCTCCTAATGAAACATAATGACTGGTCTATATAAATACAAAAGTGTGTTGAGCCAACCCAACAGGTTACATATTCATTTAACCTAGAAACATGCCTGTGCTGGCCTCAGTCAGGTCAGTAAGAGACCTTTGCCCTCCGGTTTTCATGGATGAGATACAGTGACAATAACTATGGCCACCGAGACACCAAGATGGTCACACTTACCGTGGGCTTGGTTATCTTTGGTCTGTCATCCTGCAATAAAAAACAAGACACATTACAGAATGGAAACGTCTACAAATGTGCCATTTCCAAAGTGCTCATTTTACTGCGATTTCTAAAAAATGTTACTGTTCAGTAATTATCATTTCAGGTTCATTTATCTAGGCTGCTAAACACAAAGTTTGATCCCACTGACTTGACTGCAAAAACTGTTAGCTGATTAAGTGCTGAGAGGTATTTTGATCTAGAGTTCCAAGTTTAGAACAGTATCCATGATAGTCATACTTATATGTTGAGGTGTGTACACTTATTAAACTCGGATTCTGATCTTTACTTCGGGGAGCAGCTGAGTAATCAGATTCCTCCCTTCTATCCTCTCAAATTGCCTTTGAGATGTGTGTATGTATGTGTACATACGTATGTGTATATGCATTATATATGTGTGTGTATGTGTATATGCATTGTGTATATATGTGTGTATGTATATATGCATTGTGCATATATCCACGTGAGTATGTGTATATGCATTGTGTGTATATGTATGTGTGTGTACAATTTGTGGGATATCCTCAGTGAATTCCTGCAATCTTCCAATTGTAGTGTCATAATCTACTTAAACCTCTGGCTGAGTCAGTCCAAAATAAAGTGCATCTAAAACAGACCACAGGTGAATCCCATAGGGAGATGAGACAAAAATGCTGCTATCACATCCTAAAAAGCCAGCACTCTACCCTCACAAGGTTTGGAAGGGAGAGTAAGGACAGGATGGAACATTTTTAAGGGCAGGCCCCGCTGATTACCATAAAACTGCCCCCCTTTGGTAAAGTATGAAGATGAAAGTATTTGGGTGTATAAAATCTCCAGACAAATGAAGATTTGTATTTTCTCCAAGTACCATTCCTACCTCCACAAACCCCACTGCCAACTCAGTGGAAATGTGGAAGTGCTCTAAACGGTCCCATCTACAGGCTTCCCTGAAGAGCCTCCTCTCTCCTTTCCTTCACTCACACACCACAAGGCGGGAACGCCCGCTGCTCAGGACGGTGGGCAGCTCTGCTGTTTCTGTCCAAGTTTGCAGCTATTTTCCTGATAACTTCAGTGGACAGACTAGTGAAGTTGTACATGGCCATTTACAAATGCACGGAAGGTCCTGCTTGATATAAAAGCTGAATCAGGCCAGTGTTTCCTCAAGGCCAGTCCATGAACCAGCACCAGTGGGGATGGTCCCAAAGATCTGGGGTGAAGTTTTATAGAAGGCAGAGTCTACTCATTTAACAGAGCTGATTTTTCTTAATTAAAATCATTCTTTAAGAATACAATAGTCTCAAACTAATGAAAATAGAAGGGGGACTCTTAAAAAATATTTTGGTCAAAAAAGAAAACTACAAAAAATAAAATTATACTGGGTTTATACCCTCCACTTTCTAAAATCTGCTCTTCTGTGACCCTTCAGGGTCTGAGACACACTGTCCCCAGGGCATGACCTCGGGGTTAGAGGATTCTGACTCTAAATGCCAATGGGAAATGCAACCAGGGAAATGCAAAGAAACTTCTAGGCAATTTGTTTCTGACAAAAATGGTGTTGTAAAATCGGGAGGAATTGTTCTACTTTACTCCTTTTTAAATCTGCAAGTCTACAGATTTGGGTAATGTCAACTTATAGCCTTAAAGAGAAAGAAGTAAAGGCCCCTCAAAAGCACGTACTGGATGCAGCTCCCCGATGATATATGTTTTGGACAATTCTCTAGCATCTGTTGAGTGCCCAACATCTTCAAAGTTCTCAGTAGCATCCCCTCCGGCTTGTTCCCGTAAGACTTCTTCCCCACCAGGATGCTGTTCAAAAGATTTACAGACATAAAAATAAGTAAATATTTTTCCAAGCAAATGGGATCAAGGAGGTGGCCAGTTTATTTAACCAAATAGGTTACTCCAGAAGTCACAGATGACAACACGTGAGTATAACTCATCCATAATGTGGATGAAAACAATATACTCCTTTGTATTCAAATGCCTTCTTGAAAGTACGGTAGAACCCTTCTCCAATGGTGTTCATTTCCCCGGGTTATTCACATGGCAATAACAGCATTAGGCAGATATTTCCAATCCTTTGGCAAATGTCCTCTTTACTTTTCCATAAAGCTCTCAAAATTGCTCTTCTCAGTCTTTAATCTATTTGTCTTGAGCCCTCTCCCTTTGACCTCTTAGTTCTAAGTGTGAACCTACACCATAACCTTAGATGTAATTCATCTTTGAAAAGTACACTGTGTACCTGCCAAGTACAGAGAGGGGACAGCATGATGGACGGGTAAGCAAGTCCCCTGCTTTCTGCAGAACTTACCTTTTGGTCAAAAGGAAAAGTGATGCAAGCAGATATCATAGTGACTTGCTCAAGATGCTGCCATAGGAACATGTCATTGATAGGGAGCAGAAGCAAAGAGGAAGGAGTTCAATTCTACACAGGGAAGGGGTCTAAAGAGCCATTTGTGTAATCAAAGCATTGCAGTGCTCTTAGCTGCTTTAACTGGTAAAACCCAAGGATGGTCATGATGCAGGAAGGGGAGACTGACACACGGGCCCAGTCATGGATATGGGTGAAGGGCAAGGGAAGGAGTTCTCGATCAAATAAAAAGAAAGTACTTGGTTATATCATCCTAAAGCCTTTTTCAGGGGTAAAAACCTTCTTAAATTGAGCTTCATTATTACCTCAGATCAAATTCACCTGCCCTTGAGCTAAGCACCTGTAAGTATCCAATAACCAAAGAAAACAATTCTCTCTTGCACAACTGACTGTAGTCTCGTCTTAATTCCTCCCAATAATGGAAGACATAAAGGTGCATAGCACTTTAGAAATGTGGACAATTATTCTGTTTTGAAACCTGTTTCTCCTTCTTTTGTGTAAACATATCTAATGCTAAACAAATTTACTTATTTTTTTCCTCTACTATTTATGAAAGTTATCTATCTACATTATAGAAAAATCGGAAAGCACAAAAAATAAAATAAAAATCAACTAAATCACCCATAATCTTGCCATCCAGAGAAATCTGGGTATACACATGTATATGTGTGAATAATTTAAAAAAGAAAATTGTGATCGCGACCTTATGCACACAGACTTGTTAGACAAAAAGCAGATGATGATACATGGTACAGAGACAGTATGCCTAGTGGTTACTCCTCCTATGTGAACTTGGGAAAATAATGTGCTATTTGCATTATGATGTGCCATTTGCATTATTATGTACTCAACAGATACCACATGTTGCTATGTGCCAGAGAGCAAATATGGCAGGCTCCACCATGAGCAGAGAGTCAGGGCTCCCAACAATTGCTTAGGAATGCAACAGAAACTCTCCACTTGATTATAACTCAAGTGAAAACCAGTGCTCTGAGAAGCATGTCAAACTCAAAGGCTAACACAGGCCAAATAAACGAGGCATGAGGCCTGCGGTCCATGAGTTTGACATGCTTGGGGTACAGCCACCAAGAAGCTGAGTGAGGGGCAGAACCGTGTGTCTGAACTTCCCAGAGAGGAGGGAGCGGGTGGGTCCAGGACTGGGGAGAAAGAGCAGGTAGAGAGGGCAGGGCGGACGCACAAAGCTCAGGCCTCTTCGGAGACTGTCATTTTTAGCAACGAGAAGTCATTGAGAGGCTCTAAGAAGGGAAGGTGACAAAATCAGGTTCATTTAAAAATTAAAACCCTGTCTTCAGCACGGACAGCAGCTGTCAGAGCAGGAAAGGATCTGGGAGACTGCAGTGAGCTTATCTAGATGAGGTGGCAGAGGGTGATGGGAGCCCAGGGCAGGCTGAAGGCAGTGGGAGATGAGGAGGTGGATGGTGCGGGACAGACAGGGCGCACCCCAGCAGCCCTTGTCAAGTTGCTGTCAACTGACTTATCCAAGAAGGAATGGCCAACATCAAAGCTGAAGTTGGCCAAGGACCAGACGACTCCTCTGTGTGGCAGGTCTCAGGATCAAGTCTCACCAGTATTACATTTTTGCCAGCCCTGGGGTGTTAAAGGGTAAGGAATTTGTTAGTTCTTACCTGTATAATGACAATGCAATAAAGCCTTTCGTGATGCAGATGGTTTCAGTGTATTAATTTAACATAAATGAATAATTTTATGGCTTCAGTCCGCCTTTTACAATCACTAAAGGTCTGAAGTGATCTCTTAAAATCTTTTTCAGTTACACTTTATGTAATGTGAGAAACACAGTTGTAACTGTGCTTGTGAATTTGAGGATTTATCAAAGTTACGTGTCTGCCAGATACATACAAAAATGAGAGAAATGCAAATAAGGCAGAAAACAAAAAGTGGTAAATGAGTATCAATAAAGCCAAGAAAAGGAGAGGTCCTTCCAGTGGAAGGACAGGCAACAAAGGAAAGCCTGTGGACTTCTCTGTATGTCTCAATATGCCCAATGCCTGACAGATGGGAGGGCAGGTCGCCCCTTCCCCTTGATTGTTCAGTCATTCCAATTAATGGCACTTAGGCTCAACGTTCACACAGGCTCAACGATCTAAAAGGTGTATCCCCTGTTTTCTAAAAACAAAAACACACACAAAACTAAGTCCAAAAAGGAAGAACATATTATAAACTTGATAAATTTTTTTCACTGGGCACCAAATACCTATAACGATGAAGCAATACCGACAGTCCTTTGGACAATGCTAATAAACAGAACAAGCTCAGCTTCTCCTTTCATGTTTAATTAGCAGTGCCACAGTATTTCCAGGTAAACACTGTTGAGTTACCTGCTGTGAAAAGTCCACATATTTAAAACCAATGACCAACATGTCCCTCTTCACCTGTGAAGCTGACACAGCCGTGATCCCATCTACCCTTCCTCTTTCGAAATATACTGCAGTGGTAAGAATTTGCTTTAATAGGATAAATACTGAGTGCAGGTGGTGTTCTCCTGCTTCCTGCGGGAGAGCGAACAAGGTTATCAGGATTGGCCCCAACACTCACAGCCTCGCCTCAGAGACCATACGATAAGCTTTATTCGTAACCAACAAGTTCCAAGAATCTCACTGAGAAGACGGTGCCCTATGTTTAACACTACAAAGCTCAATGGTTTATATCATTACAAAAAACATGACCCAAACCCAATGGACAATCCTCCCATGTCCTACTGAGGTCACACCTGAACTGTTCAAGTGAGGAAGGTCAGACCCCAAAGGGCTGCTGCCGGCTCCCCATCTTCTAACCTACTTCGGTATAACTAGTAGCGAGATAAAACATGCAACCAATTTGTCATGCACAGAAAAAAAAAAAAGACTATAACACTAAAATAGCACCAGATGCTTCACCAGAGCAAACCAGCACAAACAGAGGAGGGTCAGATACAGAGAAAGCACAATTGATGGAGCATGGCTTTGGGTTACATTACTTCTGTATGAAAAGACCAAGATTTATAGAGTCAACACAATGTGAGTTGTGCCTCAAATCCTGTTTTGAATGAGGCCAAAAAGAAATAATAAAGTAATAACTGCATTACTAGAGAATGCACCTTATCCAAGATTTATTAAATTGCAGGAAAATTCTATTTCATATTTAATGGTGTACACTAAAAATGATCTCTAAAAACTGGCAAGATAAAAGAAACTTAGATACTACTCCTGATGCAGATGATTTCAACAAATTCTTGATATATAGGCAATAATCTTAAGGAGGCAGAAAATGTGAATAAAATCAGTCATTCTGCACTCAAATACACAGTCTGCAACTACATTAATTCAGAAACTGATTACTGAGTCAAAACACTCTCCTGGTCCATTCTTCATTGCTACTGTTTGTTTCTACAGCCAATTTACCGTTCCTTAGTTTCTCTACTCAAAATATAAAGATGAGTTTAAATTATAATTTTGGCATCACCTTTGCTAGTTATGTTCCCCTTTAATACAAAAGAGGTGAGCAAAGTTTTCCACCCCAAAATATGCCTCTTTGGGATATTGATCATTTTACACTGGTTAATTGTAAGCAACAGCAGATGTGGGAGAAGCTCTGAAAAGCAAGTAGAAGTTACAGCTGTGAAACGATTTTTACATTTTTAAGGGAAGCCTCCATCTGTAAGGGTATCTCCCTCACAGTACGGGGACTGCTGTTCACCGTCAGTGCAGAAGGCAGGTCTTACATCTACATAACAATCTTACCCTTGTCTACTGTGCTCTTCCTTGTCACCTCCCATAACTGACTCTCCACCTCTAACACCTTCTCTATCTTTAGGTGAACGTGGTATTTAAGGTGCTGGCTTCCATCATTTTGGTGAGTTACTGCTCCTGGGTTTCTTATCATATATACAGAAGGTATACATGTTATTAAACTTGAATTTGCCTTCTTTCTGCTAGTCTCATGTGAATTTGATTATCAGAGCAGTCAGAAGGACCTTGAGATGGAAGGAGTTATTTTTCTGCCCCAACAGTTTCATAAGTGAGATAGTCTTAGGCTTGATACAGAATACTATTTTTACTTAGTCTTTGATCTTAACTCCTAGAATCCCTACATTTTAGTGGCTTTGAAAAAAAAAAACAAGTGATAAAATTTCAAAGCCATGGGTTGGAAGATCTTGTTTACATGGCAAGAAAGCCTTGCATGCTTGTAAATAGAGCTGGAGGGGAAGGAGGAACTACCCATCAAGTTCACAGCTCCAGCCATGGATGGGATAGGTCTTCCTCTCTCCAACCCTCATGGTTCTTTTTTTTTTTTTTTTACGAAGAAGGGAGAGGAATAGAGAGTTAGAAACATCGATGAGAAACATCGATCAGCTGCCTCCTGCACACCCCCTACTAGGAATGTGCCCGCAACCAAGGAACATGCCCTTGGCTGGAATCGAACCTGGGACCCTTCAGTCCGCAGGCCAAAGCTCTGTCCACTGAGCCGAACCAGTAAGGGCCGACCCTCATGGTTCTTAACCACCTCTACATCTGCTAGAATATTCATCCTCAAATACCATTCTGACCACTTCATGTGCCTACTCAAAAATCGACAGTGGTGAATTTCTGCAGGCAAATAAAAGTCCTCCTGAATTTCTCACAAAGAGCTTCAACATCTACATAGTCCAGCGGGTACCCAGGTGCAAAACCACATCAGCAGGGGCAAAGCTGCTCTTCGCTCCGTCAGCTTCTCCCTCCCCAAACAGTTAAACTTCTAGCTGAGAAATAGCTACTTACTAGTAGAATAGAGATTTTTTCCCCAGACTCCCTTGCAACTGGGTATACCATGTGATTAAATCCCAGATAATGGAACGTAGGTGTGTCAGGAGAACCTTCTAGAAGCCTTCCCTTCTAGAGTGGCGTGCCCCCTTTACACCATTTCTCTTCACCCCTTTCTTCATTCTGCTGTGTGGAGTGCAGAGGCTGCCTCTGAACTTGGGATGAGAGCCAGACCCTAGAAATGGTCAGGAAGTGGGCTAGAAGTGTGGGCCTGAGGACTTGATGGAGCACAGCCGGCACACCACACCTGGAAAGCTTGTTCTTCACAGCAGGTGAACAAACTTCTATCTTGTTTAAGCACAGTTACTTGTGGTTCTTCTGAGCTTAATTCTAATTACTACATTCATCATTTGTCAAGAAATACCATGTGCCAGACACTAAAGTCCTGAAGCACATAAAAGATGCAAGTGTTGAGAAACTTAAAAAGACAAATTAGAACAATTGTCTTCACATACATTAAACAACTGAGAAATATTAAGGGACCATCTTAACATATCCAATATTTAATAATTGTGTTATCTTCATAGATATCTTTAAAAATAGTCTGGGCCCTTTAGGTTAGAATTTGGATGAACAGAGTAGATATAGATGAGAAACCTCAAGAGGAATCCGAGCAGGGATGAGGCTGAAGGGCCGAAATGTGCTCGTGAGCTGGGTGAGTGAAGAGGTACGTCTGAATAAAGCAAGATACGTGAGGCTGTGCCGGGGCTCATTTTGTGAGCCAACTTGACTGTCCAGGGCAAGGGTCCTTAACCTTTTTAAACAGGGGGCCAGTTCACTGTCCCTCAGACCGTTGGAGGGCCGGACTATAGTTTAAAAAAAAAAAACTATGAACAAATTCCTATGCACACTGCACATATCTTATTTTGAAGTAAAAAAACAAAACGGGAACAAATACAATATTTGTATTTGCATGTGGCCCGCGGGCTGTAGTTTGAAGACCCCTGGTCCAGGGGATGCTCAGGCTGTTATTTCCAGGTGTGTCTGGGAGGTTATTTCCATATGAGATTAGTATTTGCATTGGAGGACTTAGTAAATGAGGTGACCTCCCCTTTAGGTGGGCCTCCTCAAATCCAGGAGAGCTTGAATAGAACAAATGGCAAGGTGGAGGAAGGAAGAATCTGTCCCTCTTTTCCTGCCTTATTGATAGGGCTGGGACATGCCATCTCACCTTCTTCTGCCCTTGAACTGGGTTTTGCCCCATTGGCTCCCCTGGCTCTCAGCCTACAGCCTTGAACTGAGTGGCCCACCAGCTCTCCCGGGTCTCCAGTTTGCAGATGGCACAACCTGGGACTTCTTGACCGTCCTCATAATAAATCCCTTACACTCTATGGATCGCCTGTGTGTCCTGTCTTCTCTTTCTCTGGAGGACCCTGACTAACACAGCTGGATGGTTAGAATGAACCAAATGAGGGCGGGCCATGAGTGCCTGTGGGAAAGGGCGGACAATAATGAGTTCTAGAACAGCAGCGTGACTCAAAAAAACATCACAGGATCACTGTTGGAACAGCCAGTCTCCAAATGCAGACAGGCATCTGACCAGTGGGGGCAGCACTGGGCCTCTCCAGCCCCACCCCCTCCCCCAGGCACAGGCTGCAGCCTTACAAAGTTCAACTGCCTCCACCTCCTCTGTGGGCCAGCAACAAAAGCATGACACTCAGCTGGAGATCTTGCTCAAAGGGGCAGGCCTGAGGCAGGCCGAAGGTTAAAATCACTGAAGTGAGAGTTTAAAAGAACCTCAGAGACTCGACATTCTTAAAGTCACAGATGGAGAAAGCGGGACCCAGAGCAAATAAGCCCAACGTCACGCTGACAGTTCCTGAAGGAAACAGGCCCAGGCCCAGTTTCGGGCCTCATTCGGCCTCCCCCTCTTTTTGGAACATGCGTATTAAATGACTATTTTTATGCTTCTGAACAAAGTGACTTTAATAGGATGCCTTAGAAAAAATAAAGTTTCTTCGTACATTTCCCTTTTGGAAATTTAGAGGGAAATCTGTCTCGCTTCTTCTAGACCCCAGGAAACTTTGTCCTGCCTTCCTGAGCCTTAATCACTAAGATTCAAAGGTGTCTCTCTCTCTCTCTCTCTCTCTCTCTCTCTCTCTCTCTCTCTCTCTCTCCCCCCACTAGTTCAGGGAACTACCTGGCTACCAGGTTGTCTCCGAAAAACTCAGAAGGGTGTGCAGATGTCCACTCAGTGACACCATGTGCTCTAAATCCATCCCCCCCCACACCCCCAGAGCTCACTTAAACTAAGCAAAAACAAATGACAATAAAAACCTTTCCACTTAGCCGTACTGTTATACAGACCCAAAGTCCACCAACTCTGGAGTACCTTTCAATCCAAACACTTAGCCCTGCCAAAATAGGTGTGGTAAACAATGACTAGGCAGAATAATGTGTGCACAGAGATTATCTGCAGTAATGAAGCCAAAGATGAGAACAACTCAAGGGAGTATGGAAAGTGAACGATTTAAAAAGATTAGGAACAAAATAAGTTGCCTAACCAAATGTTTTCTATCATTTCTAGATGCTGTCTTTCCGAGGAGGCAAAGAATGAAGGGCCTCGAAGCTGGCTGGGTTCTCCAGACTTGCACACGCCCCCCCCCTCCCCCCCCCCCCCCCCCGCCCCCATGGACTCCATGGAGGAGCACCTCTGGATGGCACTGCCTGGGGCTGTGCATGCCCCTCGAGCTGATCCTCAAAGCTCAGGACCAGGCTGGGGAGCATCAGCTCTCTGTATCACTTTGAAGATTATGGGATGAAACTTACAAGGCCCATCTGTGCGTTCGCCCAGCTGGAAACATCGGCCAGCTGGCTCTCTCTCTCGATGGGGAAGCCACGGCCCTGGCCTTAGAGGTTACAGTCCAGGGGACAGACAGGCAGGCAGACAAGTAGCAGCTACACACAGCAGCCCCAGGTACAGGAGCCAGCACAGCAGGTGAAGGGATCCACTCGCCCTGGAGCAGGAGGCTGAGAGGGTGTCAGGGAGAGGCTGAGGTGGGAAAGGTTCAGGAGATGTTCACCAGGTGAGCGCGTGGGGACGTTTTAAGCAAAGGAAAGGACATTGCAAAGACCCACAGGCGGTAATATAGTGGCACCCTGGAGAACTGCAGGTGCTGTGTGTAACCCACTTCACAGGGATAAAAATGCACGATGAAGTCCAACTGGAACTTGAAGCCAACACAATGAGTGTGGAGGGTCTGTGGGAGGAGCTGGGCTTAAGAAGGTCTCATACTCCACCAATCACAAGAACCCTACAGGCAGAACAATATTTATAGTAAAGCTCTGTGGTCCTAATTTCCTTTCCCTTAACCTCCTTCTCCCGCCTGGCACACAGGCCAGAGTGTGCACCCAGCTGCCTTGTCTGTGTGCTCTGGGCTGCACCCCTTTCTTTTCCCCAAATAAACCCTTCTTGATGACAAAACACCTAGTCGATATTATTTTTCAGTCGACAACTATTTGTTAGTTTTTTTTCACTCTTTGTTACTGGATTAGGGGGAGGCAATTAGAAAGGAGAATTAAGCACATATCACCTCCCAACTACTTTATAAATCACACTTTCCCATATCACTTATCTAAAGTTACATGAAACCTCTCGTTAGTCACATATTGGCGCAACCTCACGGCAAGCACTTTCCCCTTTGTGACGCCTGCATGACCCCTCATGGGCTCCCACCTTCCTACACTCCTCCGGTTCCCATGTCATGCTCTAGAACAGTGGTGCTCAACCTTTGGGTCACGACCCCTTTGGTTGAGACCCCTCTCACAGGGGTCGCCTAAGACCATCAGAAAACACATATATAATTACATATTGTTTCTGTGATTAATCACTATGCTTTAGTTATGTTCAATTTGTAACAATGAAATTGGGGGTCACCACAACATGAGGAACTGTATTAAAGGGTCGTGGCATTAGGAAGGTTGAGAACCACTGCTCTAGAAGGAGTGATGGATTGTTCTCCAGTAGGCATAGCTTCTGTGTCCAGGCAGCCCCATGCTATGGAAAAAGCACAGGCTGGGAGGGACAGGACCAGGAGCTCAAGGTGCAGCTCTGCCATGTCTTCGCAGGGACCCAGGAAGGTACTGATCTTTCTGAGTGTCCATTTCCCCAGCATCAACTATCTCCCTCCTCCTAAACTGCACAGAAGAGTAAAGGATATAATTAGTAGAATGCCTGGCATATAATAGCCATTTCAGTAATATCAAGTTCCCTTTTGTCCCTACCCCCACCTGATATTGCCACAAAAAACCTGTACGGACCTGGTACAGTTCCTGACCCAAAATGCTGAAGGCTACATCCAGCACCACCTCCTTCTTCCCACCCCCACCCACCTTCATCTTCAAGTGCTTTCTATGGATTAAATCAACTGGCCTGATTCTACTGAGGCACAGAACCAAATGACCAGAGTCAACAGAAACAGGTATCCTAAGGACAATGACATTTTCTACTGGGGGTCATCTTTAGGGCCATTAGGATGAGGACAGAGAGATAATGCAGCTGTGAGCTGGAGAGCTGGCAGTTCTGCAGAATGCTATTACAATTCTCTCTCCTTGGAAAAGAGAAGCAAAATTCTTGGTTATTTTTAGGAAAGGTCACATCACAATAACACAAGGATGTGCCAGTTGTGTGGGAAACAGGGAGGAAAAGGGAAATAAGATGGAAACAGAGGACAGGTTGCTTTGTGTTCCTCCACTAGACCATCCCCTCCCAGCTGAAGGGATGTTTACTGAGCAGCTATGTGTCAGGACACGGGGCAGTGAAGGAGGACATTCGCAGCCAGCAAACAAGAAACATGCAGACATCGCCTGAAGTGCTAGCAGAGAAATGAAATAGGATGATGATGTAACAGAAAATTCCCCTTTCTGGGAAGCGACACTGAGCTGTGCCCTGAAGGGGGTGGTGACCAAGGGAATGTACACCAGGCAGAGGGAAGGAGCTAAGCAGAGAAATGATAAGTTGTTTCCACCAGATAAAGCTGTTTTGATTTCCTTCCAGAAATTACATTCTTTAATGTCATAATAACACGTCACTCATCATGAAGACTTGAGCGATGGAAGCAGTGGAATCCTGAAGGCTCTATCAGGACACGTGCTCTGACACGGGAGAGAATCCTTGACATGTACGGCAGGGACTTGAAGACAGAGGGCAGCATGAGGAAGCTCAGAGGACAGACTTCCTGCAGGGCCCGGAGGCGACACTGAAGTGGAATGGGGGCACTGGCAGACTAGGAGAGAGGGAGAGAGAGAAAGAGAGAGAAGAGATACCCACAGAGGACAAGGACCGACAACCAGCCAGGGGGTGGGCAGGGGTGGGCCAGCACTAGCTGAGCCCACAGACGGGCATACTTCACCAGAGCAGGAGCCTCATCAGCCTTCCACTCAGAGCAGCCTGTGCGAGCCAGTGATGTAACAGGCCTCCTGAAAGCATGGGCCCTGCTCACACGCCCAGCACACATGCAAACAAGCTCTTTCTTAAACAGCACAACACTGACTCTCGGCACCACCCAGGTACCCTGTGTTAGGAACCTCCAGAGGCCTTGCAGACCCCCAGGTCTTTCTTTCCTTCTAGACAACCCTGTGAAGAGCTGCCACCTTCTAGAAGGCAACACGGGAAATGACAGCAGGTGGGAAGAAAGGCACTATTGGCCCCCTCTTTACCTTCCAAGGATTCTCTTTATGTTCAGATGTTTCCATTCACAACTTCCCTTTGCTTTCTTCCTGGTTCCTACAGAGAACTCTGGATACGGGGAGAAAAATCTCAAAGCAAATGATGGCAACTATGTACAGGTAGGGTGGCTTTTTTCTTTGACAGTTTTGCTAGTGGTCCTCAAAAATGCCTGCGGTCTCACGCCCGTGTCACAGTCAGCAGAGGAACTCGGACTGGGGAGTCCCACGTCCTGGATTGAAAACCTGGCTTTCAATCCTCACCCACTGTGTCATTTGAGCAATTAACGGAGGCTCCTAAGCCACATTTTTCTTACCTAAAAAGGGCACCAGCACCACCACTACCCACCTGAGAGGCCTGTTTTCAGAATGAACAGTACAAATGCAAAGGTGGTTTTATGCGTTTTGGCACACTATCTAGCACACACGGAATGGCCATCAACGCTCAGTGAGTGTCCACTGCTATCGCAAGTACTATTAGCCCACCGGGGATTTCTACTAGGGAGGGAGTGTGAATGACAGTTATTAATACTTTCTGCAGAATGTGGGAGGCGGAGGAGTAGGCTGGATATATTTTGTGTCCTGGCCCGTTTTTGTTCAGCTCTGCCACTGAGAAAACAGCAGGTGTGGAAAGACACAGGTAGAAACAGGCACATCCAGGCCATCACTGCAGAAGAGACAGAGGCTGCCCGCCCTTCGAGAAAACCACTAAACACAGAAAACAGCTGACGGGGCCTAGAGGAGGTAAACGCCGCCCACTTGCCTCCCCGCCATCAATGCTGGTTCAATGTCATTGTTCTGGACATGCCGTCCTCATGGGCAGGCCAGAGACCTAATTCTGGGGATGGAAGAACGTGACTTTTTGCCATCATCCCTGAGACGTCAGCTCTCACTAACCAAAGGTCACTTACCACAAGGCTGCACAGGCCAAATTCTACTGACCTGGCCTTGAACTGACTTCTCCCACCCACGTCTTCAACTCACTTTCCTGTCCCATGTGGAACTTGATAAAAGACACAGGGAGCCAGTTAATAAATACACTTAACGGGATGTTTCCAAGAGAACAAGTTCAAAGGTAATAGGGGGGGAAAGCACACACTAAGATTTGGAGAACACCTCTGAGCCACTGCTGTTTAAATCTCCCCTTGAGTCTGCTACCTCTGGCGACTGTCCTGAGCACTTGGACACGGACTGCTGCTGACAACTGTGGCTCATGTTAGCTTAATAAGGCATTATTCGCTGTAGTTGCACTTTTAAGAGAATTTACATGTTAAAGGGGCTGAAAAAAATGTTTCTATGCATTTCCCCTTCTGACAAAAAATACACACCCAAATAATTCAGGAGAGGTGGGAAATCAGCCAAGCCTCTCAGGTGTTACAGGTATTACAGAGACCTGAACCTGGGAGGACAGACCTGGCTACCTTGTGGTCACTGGTGTGACCGACGTGGGATATAATTATAACACTTAATTTATAAGTAAACTTTAACTTATAGGTGTACCGGTTAATAATGCAGATTTCTTTCAATAGAAGGAGTTACACATATGTTGATATATATGCGATTTGATATGCATGTTATTTTGTTGTGTTGACAAAGAGCTTCAAAACTTCCTGTTAAATTTTCTGGAGGTGTTAACATCATAGATATTTTTACGCTTAAAAATGTCAACTTTCATGCCAAAAAAAAGAGCGTTTGCGGGAAGTTTTAATTCATTATTTTGAAGAAAAATGCTGCTGAAAGTTATCGTATACTTCGGGAAGCTTATGGTGAACATGCTCCATCTCAAGATACTTGTGAACACTGGTTTAAACACTTTAAAAGGGATGATTTCGATGTGAAAGACAACACCCAAGTCAACCGAAAAAGTTGAAGACCAACAATTAAAAGCATTATTGGATGCAGATGCATGTCAAACTCCAAAACAACTTACAGAAAGATTAAACGTTGCTCAGCAAACAATTTACAAT